CTGTCTCTTATACACATCTAGATGTGTATAAGAGACAGTCTCTGCAGAGCTCGGTTCTTGCCTGTGGTGTTTTGACGAGGAGAGTGCAGCACTCCCTCCCCGCGGTTCCCGCGGTTGTCTCCCTCCTACCGCGAGCGGTGCGTACTGACGTGGTGTTTACGAATCTCTCTACTCCTCAAGCCCCGTGGGCCACGCTTTCCGCGACGGTGGTTGCCAGGTGCAGTTTGCCGCTCTGCATTACTGCCGCGGGAACAGTGTCCATACATACCTCTCGCCACTACCACCGTCTGTGCATCCTCACCGCCACGCTGAGCCAGCGCGGCGGTGAGTTGCCTTTGAGACACCACCCGCCCACTATCTGTTGTGGCCTGGTTCGCCCGCGAGGGACTCACTGGGTCGATATCGGCCCCGGCCGGGAAGCAGGCCAAGGCGGAAGGACTACCCGATGTACGTGTGTACGCGTGTCGTTGTCGCTAGTCGCGTGAGGTCTGTTGTGCCCACCTACGGTAGTGGGCACACCCTCGCATGTGCTGTAAACAGTGTACCTTTCATACTGGGGAGTGTGCTGGTGCTGTAAAAAGGGTGCTCTTCCGCGAATTGGTATTGAGCAACATACTCAAACGCGTTTACCATCTAGGCGCTGCCAAAGCTGAAGGAATGATTGAGGTGATATTATGACGCAAACGAGGCTGTGCCGTATCGTGCTGTATAGGAAATGACTGTACAACTGCTGTACAGCTGCTGCTTACACCATATGCATTTGTATGTCCTGACCGCAACTACTGCTAACAGACCTCCTCCAGTGTGTATCTCCAGGACTGCCGTGCTCTCCTACGTGTTATGCAGCGAGGGCGCTCCTGGAATCATGGCATGGCGTCTCTACGTGGTGGGCACGGTTCTCAGATATCCGCCAAAGACTCCACCCAGTCACACTACAACAAACTCATATCCGCCGAGGCCCCACCCAGTTCCACAACAACAGCAAACAGTACGTGATAGTAGTTTTTTGTGCATATTTTACGCAGTCTTTTTTCGACGAAGGTCTGCGAGTGATTAATTAACGTGATCTGGAGGGAAAGTGATGCCACGGGCTGTTGGGCAGTGCCAAGGTTTTGGGCCGTGAGGTGCCGCATGCACCAGGGAACAAAGTTTGTGTCGTGCACGCCTCAACGGCCGCGACCGGTTTGTTCAATGTCGGTGTTTTTGACTGCCACGGGTTTGCTTATCCACCGATAACTTTCCGGAGGAGAAAGCAACATTAACAGCAAGGCCACTCGGCGGGAGGTAGCTCTATGTTTCATATTTCATGCCCATGGTTTGGTGCCGTGGGGTATCGTTCGCGCCGGGGAAATGTTTTGATCGAACTCAAAGTACCCTTGCCAGAGGGCCGTTCGTTAAACTTCGCAGGGATTGTGCCCTCATGGTGCGGTTTTCCAGCGAAAACCTTTCGAAGGAATAGGCTACAGCAACAGCAATGCCACCCCGAGGGGGCTAGCTCTAACCGCACCTTTCTGGTACCAGATTTCAAGCCTGGGGGTATCGCAAGCGTAGAGAAAAATGCTGCGTCTAGTGTGTCCCGCACTCTCCCGCCCTTTTCTTCACGGTGTGATATGAAAGGCGTGTGCCTTCTTCTCGCATGTGCAAAAAAACATATCGCACCACACACCAAACATGGAGACGCCGAAACAGGTCAAACCGCCTTAGACAGCAGAAAGGGCCGCTATTTGTCAGAGAGGGGAGGACAACTGATTTTTCGCTCCCTGGGCCACCGATCGGGGCCAGACCGGTCACGGCATGCTCTCTGTTCCGTGCTGTCGGACAGAGTAGTTTTGCTCGGCAGCGCGTACTCTCGATCGACAGGAAGAAGCATGCGCGTGGTGCCCGTTGCTTCTCCGAACTGCGCTTTTTTCAGGTCTGGTTCACTTGAGAACATACTATTAAATACGTGGAAGGCCTAGTAATAATTCAAACAGACAGAATGTGTACACGCAGACGACGATTTCGAACGAACGGGTTAACGAGTTGCTGAGCAAATATCCTCCGGCAGACAGCAAGGAACAGAGAGCATGCCGTGACCGGTCTGGCTCCGATCGGTGGCCTAGGGAGCGAGAAATCAGTTGCGGTGTCCTCCCCTTTCCGACAAACGCGGCTCTTTTTGCTGTCTCATGGCGGTTCGGCGCCCCCACGTTTGGTGTGATGCGATCTGTATTTTTGCGCACGCGTGCCGAGCGACCATCAACGGTCAGCGTGACGAACAGAAAGTCCTAAATCGTAGGGTTGCTCGGAGCCCTGATGGGAGGGTTACGTCAAGAACTCAGGGAGCACTCATCGATTGTGTCGACTAGGTTCGATCTACATACACCCGCATCCAACAATCCGCCTGAGAAAGCCGGATCATTTTTTTTTCCCTCATCATTGGAATTTGTCGTCTGCCCCTCTGACCCCTATCATCGGCTTCTACCAGCTAGACGACCCAACCAGGATCACATAGGAGGGGGGAGATTGGACTCCCTCCAGCGGTTCCTGCCCGAGATATTTTTATCGCGAGGAGGGTACAGCACTCCCTTCCCTCGCCACTTATCAACTCGATCAAGTTTACTAACAACGAGCTTCGCAGTGCGTCGCTTCCAACGGAGACCAGGATTTAAATAGCAAGAAAGAGCTCACTCTGTCGGGACTCGAACCCATGACCTGGCCCTTGGCAGGCTGCGAGGCTACCCACTAGCCCACCGGGGCGACCGGTGTGTGAGAACGGCCGGACTTTTTTCCAGTCAAAATTTTGCCGATCCTGGAGTGTGAACCTTTTTTGGAAAGAAATTCAGGTGTAAAAGGAACCGCCTCGGACTAATTCCTTGTACACAAATCTGTTTGTTGGGTCATCCTGACAGAATAATAACTAATATTCATGTAGAGTATGAGACAATAAGTGAAAGTTTTCTGAGATACATCTGCAATTGTCGGAAGAAAATAAATAAATAATAACAATGAACAAAGTCGGCAGCGCTATCGGACACGAAAGCGGATGTTTCAAAGCTACTGTGATGGGTGGAGGAATAGCACGGGCCGTCTCGAAGCTCGCATGCTCCATAACCATTCTCGCTCGCCGTGCGAACACCGGAAATGGTGGCTTAGGAACCCTTGCCTCCAAGGAACTCCTCAACCTACCGGCCTCTTTCTGCAAACCCTCTGTAGTGGAGCATTTTACTCTTGAACCTCGGTCAAAACTCCCCATCATATATTCTAGGCATTACAACCACGGCCCCCGCAGCCGGAGGCCCTTGCACGTATCGAGGTACATGCATTGACTACATAACACGATATCCACCGCACCAAGCCCTTGCTCAGCTACAGCCATATGAACAATCTCTAGTGGACTGTCTACCGTTCTACAGAAAAAAACATGAGCGGCGTTCTTGGACAGGACAAGTACACCGCGTTCTTGCAGCGGGAATGTCGATGCCATCATGATAGTGACAAAATACGTCCTTTGTTTCGTGTGGAGGTTGCAGTGGGCATGCAATGCACTTTCCACACCACAGTGTATTGAGACCATACCTGATATGTGCCAACGGAGGGTTTCGGGATCTATGCCGGTGCTGTTGTTGTCGCGGAGTTCGAGGGGAGGTGCTGGGAGGTGCGATTGTAAACGCTTGTTGGCATGTGTGTTTAACATGAATATGGAGTTTGCGGATGATTGTTGTTGCTATTGTTGTTGTTTAACAATGATA